CTTTTTGCCCCCCAGCCCTCAGGAGCACTCTACAAGCCTCCTAAAGGCTATTCATACCCTCTCTTTTTTTTTTTTTTTTTTTAAAAAAAACGGGCCTGTTTTCAAAAAAAACGGGCCGTTTTTGGGAGGTCTACAGAGTGCAAAAACTTTTTTAAAAATTTGCCTATTCAAAATCTTGATGCATCTTATACTCCGAAAAATACGCTAGTTCTATTGACCCATTGTCCAAGTCCTAAGCTATGAGGAAGAAAAGAGATATTCCTTCTGACCACTTTCACCATGCCACGCGTGATTTTTAGAAACCTGATGCAGTTGGCCATGCTAGCTGGGGAACGTTTAGAATTGTAACTCCAAACATTTGAATGATATTGTGTTGGGAAAGACGGTTATATTGTATTCATGTTCAGTATTTTTCTTTCTAAACTACCAGACCAGCTGTGCTAAAGTTTTTCTCCGTCAAGGAAAATGTTCCAGCTTATTTTTAACTCATCTTTTGCTTCAGCTTGCAGATTCACTGGTACCCACCGAGATGAAACCAGGTATTTCCTTGGCAACTGTTAGTGCTGTTTTGCACACTAAAGATAACAAGCATGTACTCCAGGTATGATATGGCTAATGCTGAGGAGGGGCATGCATGAAAGCTGGGGGGAAGTGGTGGATTCCAAAGATTTGCCAGTGATGTAGACCTTGTTCATAGGGGCGTGATGACCCAGTGGTTATAAAGACCACTGTCACTGGAGGTAGATTAACAGGTAACACTTTGGTGGGAAGGTAACAGTGTTCCTTGCGCCCTTGGCATGACAGCCATGCTGGCCAAATGTCCATGGAAATTGTCTTCAGACAGTGCTGGCTCCCTTGACCAAGAAATGGAGATAAGAACCGAGCTCTAGAGTCGGACACAACTAGACAGGGAAAGCTTTTTTATTGATCATCATTTCATTTTTCTAGAAAAGATGGTGTTTTTCCCATGAAAATGTGTTGATTTTCGAGTCTAGCCAACACCTTTTTGGAAATCTCCCAGTGAAACATAAGCATTTCCATGGACATTTGGTCTCTTCCTTTTTTATTTTTGATCATCCAAACCATCCAATCATCTAATCCGTATTGAAGAAGATTCGACCTCTGTCTCAACTTATATGATAAGCATATTGGCTTTTAGATATTTATATAAGCCTGCTATTGTGCGAAAAGGGGGGGGAAAGTCTGGGCAAAACAGATAGATAAGACAATACTTAAAAACAATGGTAGTCTATAATGAAGCAATGGTTTGCTCATATTCAATTAAAACAAGCCAATAATTAACTGGATGCTTCTTTCAAAGAACGATAACAGAGATTGGACAGAAAGGTGTGGGGAGGATTAAGAGAAAGAATAGGCAGTGGGACAGAAGGAAAAAAATAAGGAAGACAAGGAGAAGGAAACAATTAAATTTATGAAAGAAAAAGGAGAGAAGAAAAACACTAGCCCCCTTCTGCAAATGAGTATTCAGAAGTTTTGTTGGTGTACCTCTATTACCAGGGGTAACAAACTCAAGGCCCGGAAGCTAGATCTGGCCTGCGGGATACTTAGATCTGGCCCGTGGAGCCACCCTGGGAACTGTGAAGGACCGCCCCACGGTGCTTCTGCCAACAAAAACAGGCTCCCGGCAGAGGGTTGCATGAGGCAGTGGCAGCTGAAAACGGAGCTGGCAGAGCACTCGGGCTGCCACAGGGGCCCCCAACATGAGTGACGTTGAGCTGGCCACACCCATCCTGGTCATGCCCACTCCTGGCCCCCAGAGGTCAAACACAACCTTGATGCGGCCCTCAATGAAATCAAGTTTGACACCACTGCTCTAGACAGATTTTATATCCTAGACCAGGAGTTGGCAAAGTATGGCCAATGGGCCAAATGTTGCCCACTGCTTGTTTTTATATGGCCCACAAATATTTATACCTTAAGAAGTCTATATCTTATATGATGGTCACTATCATCTTGATTACATGGCTTGATCATCCAACAGAGGTTGACTCCCCAATGCTTGGTTAGCCGCATTGACTGAACAGTTGATGGTATCCGTTTCCTGGCCACTTGAGGCTTGCAGAATAGTAGAAGGCTTCCAGGTAGAGCTTTAGCTAGGTGCATGCTCTTTATCTTTTTCATCTCCAATCTTCTTTTATTGGTAGCTCCCACCAAAACTCCCCCAGCCTCAGCCTGGCAAAAAGAGGAAGAGAGTAACGGATGACGTGCCGGAACTCAAGCCTACCAAACCTCTCCTAAGTGGCTCTATCCCAGTAGACCAACTGGTACAGACTCTGGAAAAGGTAAAGGGGAATACGAATACAGAAACGACAGGGACACAGAGGTTCAGTGCCTAAGATGCTGAGCTTGTCAATCAGAAAGGTTGGCAATTCGAATCCCTAGCGCCACATAACAGAGTGAGCTCCCATTACTTGTCCCAGCTTCTGCCAACCTATCAGTTCGAAAGCATGTAAAAATGCAAGTAGAAAAAGAGGGACCACCTTTGGTGGGAAGGTAACAGCGTTCTGTGCACCTTCAGTGTTTAGTCATGCCAGCCACATGACCACGGAGACGTCTTTGGACAGCGCTGGCTCTTTGGCTTTGAAACGGAGATGTGCACTGCCCCCTAGAGTCAAGAACGACTAGCACATATGTGCTAGGGGAACCTTTACCTTTAATACAGAAAACCTGGTAGATTGGCTAAGCATCTAATGCTAAGAAACTGGCCCTGTTGATCAGTGTTTATTTTTAAAGCATTTATTTTCCTGTTCTCCTAAGAATTCCATCAGTGCCACGAAGGTCATGGTTTGTTAACCTTATCCTTTCTGAGCCTCATTTCTAAAAGAAAGAGGCAGTTTTAACTTATTCGTTGCTTACCTTGTCCCACATAATTCAGCAGGAGCCCTTGAGTATCAAACCACATCAGTTGACATAGCATTACCCAGGGTTCTGCTCATTTAAAAAAAAATAAGAGCAGCCTTTCCCAGCCTGGTGCCACCCATATCGTCTTCAGATATATTGGACCGCAAGTGCCAAATTCTCTAGCCAGCCATGTGCCAACCAGGGAAAAAAAACATAGGAGTTCTTTGCTAGCGCACTTGAAGGATGCAAAATTGATAAGGCTGTGATTGAGCCTACTGAACGTTGGACTGCAGCAAGTAGGATTAAAAAAAAAGAAGAAATGTGGCGATTTGTCTATTTTTAATATATGTGTAAAGGTATAATTCATATTCCTAAACAACATATGGCACAGACAAATATTAACCAGATGCTCATCAGATGGAGGGTTTTAAATAGCTCCTATTTAGGGAGGATTATTATTTTTTTCTTGTCCACGGTGGCTACAGCACGGCTTCAGCGACCTCAAAGTGGAAGATACTCCAAAAGGGCATCTGGTGCTATTCCAGGATGTGGAAACTCTAATCCGCATTGAAGAAGATTCGACCCACATCATGTGTGAGAATGACGAGTCGCTTAGGGTGAAGCTGCAGGACCTGGTCCTCAAATTCCTGCAGAAATTCTAGACTTTATCCTGTTCACACGCCCTGCTCTCTTTAACCTTCTGAAGAGGGAGAAGCCTAAACCAAGGATTTGGGGTTACAGATGGGAGGGGGGGCAAGCTTGAAAACCACGTCTGCAGTTGCACACCTTTGATTTGTGAGAGACTCAACAGGTAGGCATGCTGGTCTCTCTCCTGGAAGGAAGATGATAAGAACCACTGTTTATATGAGCCAAAGTTAAGGAGAACTGATTAATTCTACCTAGGCACCTTGCTATAAAAATGCCCTTCTCTTTATTAACTGCCGTGTAAAAGATGGGATTTAGCTGATATTACAACTGCGACAGAATCCAGAACAGTTGATGGAAGAGCCTTTCCTGCCATCTGTCCTTTTCTTTCTTTTTTTTTTTACTGAAAGTGGAGGAGAAATAAATGTTAAAGATGCATTTAGTTTCAAGCTTAATTTTATTTTTTAAAGTTTGTAATACTGAACTTCTTGATACAGACCCTAATAAAATACAGACCTGCTTTGTTTTAACTGATGGCTCATTTTTAAATACACGATAAACATAATGCTAAGAAATTACTTCTTAGCTGGAGGTTATGCAGAAGCTGCATTGGGCTTTCACATGTATGGAAGTAGCATCAGCGATAGAACAGATATTTCCCCTAACCTCACCTCAGACTGGAAAGCTTACTCTTCATTTGTCAACTGTTTGTACGAACTAAAACAGCTCTCTCTGCAGGCATGCCAGCCGTCGCCCCACCCCAACTCCACCGCACATGCGCAAGTGGGTCCCACCAGCCAGCTGTTTTTCTGGTCTCTTCCGTGCATGCGCAGGGGCGGGGCACATGTGTGGGACACAAACGTGCATGCGTGCGGGGGCATTTGCATTTTATTTTGGAGCCTCGCATAGCATCCCCGAACCCCGTTTTGGCTTCAGGTTGGTGCAGGAGGCTTTCCAGGCATTGCATTATGGGTGCGGGCACATGGGTGTGCCGTCACGCTGCTGCTTGTGTGCTTGTGGCACATGACAACAAAAAGGTTAGCCATCACTGATCTATAAGATCTGGAAGCAATGGAAGTTTGTATGAGTTCACCCCTCCCCATGGGAGTAGTGTTGTGAGAAATGTTTTCTACCTGGTATTCTACAAAACTGATGTCGCTCATGTGATTGCTTCCATAAACTCAGGAAGCTTTTTTGACCAGTTCAGATTATGGAACACTTTTGTCTTCTTTAGATTCAGAGGTCAAGCAATAGCAATAGCACTGAGACTTATATACCGCTTCACAGGGCTTAACGGCTCTCTCTCTTACAAAGTCAACCTCTTACCCCCAACAATCTGAGTCATCATTTTACTGACCTTGGAAGGATGGAAGGCTGAGTCAACCTTGAGCCGGCGAGAATCAATCTGCTGGCAGTCGGCAGAATTAGCCTTCAATACTGCATCCTAACCACTGTGCCACCACAGCCATGAAAATAATCTCACATCCAGCTCTCCTGGCTCATGAATCATGAACATAAACATGATTTTTATTTAAAACTCCATTGGAACTTATACATTAGTAGTAAGTCTTACCCTTATAAGTAGTGCCCCGCTTACAATAGCTTGTGCTTCTAAGTATACTTTCCTTTTCTGGCACAGCTGGTCAGGCAGAAATATTACTATTATACAAGACGTCCAATTCCTCGCGTATAAAGTTGCTCGGCTTCGGGCGGACCTGGATTCCAATCCTGCAGAACCACCTGAGGCACTAAGGGATAATCTGGTGGGTCATCGCTGGATTGATTTTCAAGCTATTGAAAGC